CCCTTTTCTTTTAATCAATGTTCTAATTGTATTTCTAACCAAAAACTATCCCTCTTTAAATTATTTGTCATATCTGGTTATACATCGGCTAAAAGTAACACCACTACTTTTGCAAATATTTTTTCCTCACCTTTTAAGGCTTGAATCATTCCAAAGCGAGCCGTTGTGTGTTGTAGTCGTCGGGACTGGAGGGACGACTATATGTCCGGCTATGTAAAGCATAAACACTACCACGATTTTATGACGTGACTCTTGGTGTGTCTGTTTATTTATATATCCACTTCAAAGTTTCAGTCTACCTTCGTGCTTTTCACCAACCAACTATCGGTCGAAAAATAATCTTTGAAGTTTACCTCTTTCAAAGCATTGCGTTTATAGGTTTTTGGAAAAGCGTCCATAATAATTTTTTGAGTCAAACTAATAAAGCCAATATTTGCTACTCCGGACAAAAGACAGTGGTAATTCTCTGATTTTATAAAAGTCCTGTGACTACATCAAAAGGTGATTACGACTACCTTCTGCACCCATAATCATTTAATATTTTCCATACAAATCCAAATTTTAAAGTGTTTCCTTCCCAACTTCATTGGTCAATGTAAACCTGTGAGTTATAAATTGAGTAGAAACAGATAAAAAGTTTAACTTTCAAGGGGTGTTACATTTCTTACTAATGTTCTCTCTCCAAAGAACTGGATGTGCGAGTCTTGCACAGGAAAGGAGGAACTATTTTTCAGCCTTTATGGTACAGCTTTTCAAGTCATGTGTTTCAAAGTAATTCGATTTTACTGCGAAGTAGCTATTAAATGTAGATGCAGCAGTGAGAGGTGACATTTCAAGTAATCTAACGAAGAGATTATTTGGCATTCCATCTTTCTTTCATTCCTTCGCCTTTTTACTCCTGTGTAAGCCTATAGGTGGATGCTATGCCATCGTGGAGGAGGTTGTCATGGCGATAGCAGCAAATAAATCACAACGTCAATAGCAGAAAGTGTACACTTGCGTCATCGTTGAAGTGATAAATTCGCCGTGTCAAATAAACGCAATATAGAGATCAGGATTACGAGGTAGCACAAAAAGCACGATTAATTCAGCACATGAAAGGAGCGCTAAATCGACTTTAAAAATAGCTTGTAAAGGGAATAATTGTAGGTCCTTTGTTTTTATCAACTAATTTATTCACTGTCATGTAAACTAGAAGTACTACAAGAGAGGTGGAAAAAAGATGCACCAGCCAATCAGAGGTGGGGAAATGACCGGACAGCGATAAATCCGCTGATTACATTATTATTAGTATTAGTATTATTATTTTCAACCTGATTGGTGCCGACGAGACGAGTTGGAGGGAAAGGGGAGGATTATGGATACTGTTTCTCGTGGGGATTTCAACCAAAACATGAGTTCGCGCCTAAACTTATACTACTTTCTTTGTTAGGAAACCGTCAATTACTAATAGGATATAAGGGCAAAAGAGACGAAAACAGACAATTATTTTCAATGTACAAAGTTCTTTGTAAAAAAATTTGAGGAGATAGCATAATTTGTTTAAGTGAATGCAAAAACGATGGCAACCCTTTTCTTTTAATCAATGTTCTAATTGTATTTCTAACCAAAAACTATCCCTCTTTAAATTATTTGTCATATCTGGTTATACATCGGCTAAAAGTAACACCACTACTTTTGCAAATATTTTTTCCTCACCTTTTAAGGCTTGAATCATTCCAAAGCGAGCCGTTGTGTGTTGTAGTCGTCGGGACTGGAGGGACGACTATATGTCCGGCTATGTAAAGCATAAACACTACCACGATTTTATGACGTGACTCTTGGTGTGTCTGTTTATTTATATATCCACTTCAAAGTTTCAGTCTACCTTCGTGCTTTTCACCAACCAACTATCGGTCGAAAAATAATCTTTGAAGTTTACCTCTTTCAAAGCATTGCGTTTATAGGTTTTTGGAAAAGCGTCCATAATAATTTTTTGAGTCAAACTAATAAAGCCAATATTTGCTACTCCGGACAAAAGACAGTGGTAATTCTCTGATTTTATAAAAGTCCTGTGACTACATCAAAAGGTGATTACGACTACCTTCTGCACCCATAATCATTTAATATTTTCCATACAAATCCAAATTTTAAAGTGTTTCCTTCCCAACTTCATTGGTCAATGTAAACCTGTGAGTTATAAATTGAGTAGAAACAGATAAAAAGTTTAACTTTCAAGGGGTGTTACATTTCTTACTAATGTTCTCTCTCCAAAGAACTGGATGTGCGAGTCTTGCACAGGAAAGGAGGAACTATTTTTCAGCCTTTATGGTACAGCTTTTCAAGTCATGTGTTTCAAAGTAATTCGATTTTACTGCGAAGTAGCTATTAAATGTAGATGCAGCAGTGAGAGGTGACATTTCAAGTAATCTAACGAAGAGATTATTTGGCATTCCATCTTTCTTTCATTCCTTCGCCTTTTTACTCCTGTGTAAGCCTATAGGTGGATGCTATGCCATCGTGGAGGAGGTTGTCATGGCGATAGCAGCAAATAAATCACAACGTCAATAGCAGAAAGTGTACACTTGCGTCATCGTTGAAGTGATAAATTCGCCGTGTCAAATAAACGCAATATAGAGATCAGGATTACGAGGTAGCACAAAAAGCACGATTAATTCAGCACATGAAAGGAGCGCTAAATCGACTTTAAAAATAGCTTGTAAAGGGAATAATTGTAGGTCCTTTGTTTTTATCAACTAATTTATTCACTGTCATGTAAACTAGAAGTACTACAAGAGAGGTGGAAAAAAGATGCACCAGCCAATCAGAGGTGGGGAAATGACCGGACAGCGATAAATCCGCTGATTACATTATTATTAGTATTAGTATTATTATTTTCAACCTGATTGGTGCCGACGAGACGAGTTGGAGGGAAAGGGGAGGATTATGGATACTGTTTCTCGTGGGGATTTCAACCAAAACATGAGTTCGCGCCTAAACTTATACTACTTTCTTTGTTAGGAAACCGTCAATTACTAATAGGATATAAGGGCAAAAGAGACGAAAACAGACAATTATTTTCAATGTACAAAGTTCTTTGTAAAAAAATTTGAGGAGATAGCATAATTTGTTTAAGTGAATGCAAAAACGATGGCAATAAAACTAAAGATTGGGATGTAATTCAGTTAGAGAGGGGTGATTTAAAAAAAAGGAATTAGTAAAGAGGCAAGATTAGCCTAAGAAAATAATCCAGGCATCGAGTGTTAAGGACTAGTGAGAGAAAAGAG